CTTCTCCAGGCTGAACACCCCAACTCTCTCAGCCTGTCCCCATGGAAGAGGGGCTCCAGCCCTCTGAGGGAGGGAAGTCCTCATCTCCTAAGAGGAACTGGGCTGTAGTTGGATTTTCATCAAGGTTTTGGTTCCCAGTGCTCCACTTCAGTTTGGGTATCTTGGCTGTTGGACCCGCCTCCATGGCCACCTCTGACCACCTCTGCAAATGCAGCCTGTGCCGCAGAGCACTCGTGGCACAGTCTCTTTGGGGCAGGTGCGGTGGGTGCCATATTCCTGCCTCCCGTGAGCAGGGGTGCAGCAACATCCCCAGCACCCATCGTACTGATGGCACCACAGCAGGACCTGGGAGGGCGACTATTCGGGAGGTTTCTAAGGCAGCAGTAGGTGCAGAAAGGCAACTCGCAGGGGTCTGCTCTAATGTAACCCAACAAATAGTGTGTTTATCCTAGAAACCGCTGTCAAGGGCAGGGTAGAAGTGACTGAGGGACTCGTTTTCCAACGTGGCTTCACTCTACTAATTATTTGACTAATCCCCGCCTGCCTGCCTCACCGGGGGTTGCTGTGAAGCTTAATTGAATTTACATCTATAATGTGCCTTGGGAGCTCAGAGGAAAGGTGTCATTCCCAGCTGTTAGTAACACACTTGCTGGATAAATCCTGTTGCCAGGCAGGGTCCAGAGCCCTGCCTCACACGGGTACATGTGTGGCAGCAGAGAGCAACTTGGCTTTGGGCACTTAGGGGAAGAAATACTTTTGTGTTACTGATTTGGTGCATAAATAAGGGCACATTTGTATATGTCTGTGGAAATGGTGGCTGTCCCTGTCCCTGCCCACAGCACTGGCCAAAGTGCCCGGCAGAAAGATGAAGCCTCATATTGCAAAACCCTGGTGAGCAAGTGATGGGGAGGAACTGAATCAGGATAATCCCTTTTTATTCCACCAGGGAGCATAACTCTAATGATTTTGATGCTAAACACTTCTCTGGGTCAAGACTCACCCTCTTAACTAACTGCTAGTCAGTAATTGACTCACGGTTGTTCAGGCAAGTGCAGATATGGAAAATAGTCAAGAACTAAAGCATATCTGCAGTCCTGCAAGCAAATATATCTCATCCTGCAGATAAAACCCAAAACTTGCCCTAAGCACCACCACAAATACTATTGTCCTTCCTTGGTTTGAGCAGTTACTGAATATTTAGTAACCCCAGTAAAGTCATCCCATTCCAGACATGTTTAATTTGAAGAACCTTTTGGGAATATTTCCCCTATTCACTTACTGTAAGGAAAATAGTTCTAAGCTTTTAATATTTTCAGGTGATTTTCTTATGCCCTCTTCCATGTGCTGATAAAGGAGCATGACCTTGCCATTACTTGGTTAAACCCAGATTATCACTGCTCAATGGCTGCATCTTTACAGGGTCATCCCCTCGCCCTGGAGCAACAAGGCAGACCGCTTGCCCAGGGTGCCAAAGGCCGGGCTCACCAGGGAAATGGTTTCTAGCTCTGAGCAAAGATGAAGATACTGATGACTTCAGCTGACTGACCTCTGCCACTTCCAGGTGTCCAGATTTTGCCACCATCTTTTCCAACTTGGCTTAAACTGACAGTGATTCCCCCAGCCCTAAGCCCTGGTTCACCCCTGAAATGCAGCCGAGGGCTGAGAGCAGGAACTGGGGATTAGCTAAGTCTCCTTAGCTGGGCAGAGGGGAGAGGACACCCCAACCCAGCAGGAACGTTACAGGCTACGGCCAGGGACAAACACTCTTCTCCAGGGTGGTTCACACATGGAAGTCACTGGCCCAGGCTGACTGATCCTTCCCCACCCAAGGAGGTGGATTAAGCATTGCCCGTCCTACACAGAGTGCTGTGTGAGCACCAAGGAGGCTGCTGACCCTCTCACAGGGCCACGATGTGAGATCCCTTTTGTTAAAAATGCACAGAAGCAGCTTGTGATTTCCGGTAATATTTCCTAGAGAGAGATTTTCTTTGAGACAGGGCAGAGCCATCACTCGCCGTGCACACAGCAGAGCTTTAACGGGGACGGACTGTGAAGGGCTCAGTTACTGGCTGAGTTCTCGTGAATGGTGGTGACCAAAGGAACAGGATTTATAACCCTATTACCGGTCTCCCAGATCCTCCTGGCTGCTCAGAGAACGGCTGTTGGTGGTGCTGTGGTGGGTCTCAACCGCAGCATGGCTGCGCTTCAGTGACCAGAGTCCTTGTACTCACAAGTGAGAGACGAGCAGATGCACAGAAGTCTGCCGTGAGCGTTGCCGCTGGTTTTCTGTAGAGCATGATGACCTTTTGAAAGAGCCCTGGTGACCTCAGGCCCAGAAAACCACCATGGCACCAAGGCGCCCTGCGTGACCTGGCAGCATGGAGGTCCAGGTCTCATGTCAACCCACCAGCTGTTATTTTAGAGTTTGGTATTTAAGCTGACCGAGGGGCGCAGCAAAGGTGGTGCTGCGGGAGAGAAGCTTGATAAAAGACTACAAACCATGGAAGCGTCTTGGGGCGCGGACAGGTGGTGCCTTTCCGTGGTGCAGCTGGGTTCAACCTTCCATTTAAGCCAGAGGCTTTTTCCCGGATGGCACCAAACCCAAACCGTGGGTAAGGCTGGGAAGGCACAACAGCACTCTGCTGAGGTTTGCACGGTGCAGTTTTGCACTGTACGGGGCGTTGCATCGCCATGTGCATCGTATGGCGCTGCAGCACACGGCGCACATGGGAGCAGGGTGTTAGAAACAGGTCCTGCCCCAGAGGCTGGAGAGGCACACTTCCACGTTCAGCAGAAAGCTATCACTTTGGGTGCAAACACTTCATTCTGCAGATTCCCTAGTTTTCCCACAATCCTTCCTCCTGCAGGGAAATATCATTCTATTTGCATATTAAATGAGGTGCTGAATGATGAGCTACTGAGAGGTTTTCTCGTGATGTCAGAGCCCTTCTGAGCATTTCCAGTGGTCACCCGTGGGAGGAAGGACTCCCTGGGGCCAGCTGTCTGCTGACGCAGAGTTGGGGAAAGCCCTCAGCTTCGCCC